GCGGGCCCCCGTCTTTGCCCCCCGCCAGCCAGTGGAGCTGGGGAAGCACTTGCAGAAGTTTCATCTGGATGGCTTTGACCACAACTTCTGCCTGCAGAAGACGCAGGCTCGACGCCTTGCAGCCAGGTAGGCTGGAACCCGGCAAGGGGTCCCCCACCCCTGGAGCCACAGGGTGCCCGTTAGGCCAGCCCCTTGGCATCCTCCACTGGCATCTCCCCAGGGCTCGCCACCCGCCCACTGGCAGGACCATGGAGGTTCACACCACCCAGCCTGGCATCCAGTTTTACACGGGGAACAACCTGGATGGCTCCCTGAAAGGCAAAGGCGCCGTCTCGTACCCCAAGCACTCGGCTTTCTGCCTGGAAACCCAGAGCTGGCCTGACGCTGTCAACAAGGTGAACCATCTCCCCGCCCCCGGGAGCCACTGGGTTCCCACGGCAGGGGACCACACCCCCCACCTCCCCCCGTGTCTCTGGGGCTTAAATACTTGAACACAGTCTGTCTGATGAGAGGATGCTTTGTAGACACCAGAGTTGAGGTGGGCACAGGCCACAGCATCCTGTGGCGTTACGCAGAGGGCAGGCAGCACAGCAGGGGCAGCGGGCTGTCCCACAGGGCCCAGCTTCCGCAAGGGCAGGGGGTCTGGAGCGGGAGACCCCACTGGGGCCTTGCCACGTCCTCTCCCCAGGGCCTGAATTCAGCCAGGGGGAGAATTTGCCCACTCAGCCAGCCAGCAAGTAACTGGTGGTTAAACACTGTCGCTGGAGATACCCAGGGGGAGGCGTGGGACACTGCCCCAGGAAGGCCAGGGGGATGCAGCCATGTCCTCATGACCCCTTCTGGTCCCGTGGTGTGTGCCCAGTCACTGATGTGCTGCTGCCTCTCCCCAGCCCCATTTCCCCAACACCCTACTTCAGCCGGGCCAGGAGTACGACCACACCACGTGGCTGGTCTTCAGCACCACTTAAGGAAAGGGGATGCTGACTCCTACCACCAAGACGGGTAAGTGCCCCAGCAGGTTTGCCAGAAATCCTGCCAGGTGCTGGATGGTGCTTCAAACGACCCTATGATGCATCCCATTTGGGAACTTTTTTTCCTCTGTGGTTTCCACTGGGTTTAGCTCCTGCTGCTGGTGCTATCTGGTCTGTGTATGACCAACCTCACCCTGAGCACCAGGTTTTGTTTCATGGTAAAAATGCACTGAGAACACCTCGTTTAGGGGGACATGGCATGTCACAGCTCAAACTACAGCAGTGGAACCAGAGGTGCAGGGCCCAGGGTCACAGCAGCAGTCACATGAATGCATCCCTTTCTGGGAATCTTTTCCAAGACCTCACAAGTGCTGTGTGGGACTTTTGGTGAAACCCTGCCAAAGCTGGGTGAGAGCTGGAGCTGCACAGCCTGTTCCCAGGATGATGGCTGGAAAGGAGGCAGCACAGCCAATTTTAGTTGCCACAGCTGCACCGAAGCACTGGACACCAGGTTTGCCAGTGCTCCCTCTCTGCACCTCAGAAGTGCTGGATGTCCTTCGTAGCGGGCACAGCCCTGCCTCCTTGCTCAGGTTCTCACTGCCAAACCTGGGTTTTAAAGAACCCCTCCCCTACAGGAACCCCAGGCCTCTCTGCTCTGTCTTCCACAGTGCCTCCGGGTACTGAAAAACAGGTACCAGTACAGCTGTCGTGTTAGTCTGCAGGTTTATTGTGGAGTAGGCTTGCCTTCAGAGTACAGAGAGAAAAAAGCTGACCAAATTCCAGAGCAGTGGAGTAGGTGTGCCTCTCACCAGGAGTGCTATAAACCAGGCAGGCAACGTGCAACCGAGCGTTCCAAATACAAGTCATGGGCTTTGGGCAGTGCTGCTAAATCCCTGCAGGGCAACGTTTGTGTCAGCCCCTGCTCGCCCATTGCAGTGGCAGTGGAATTTAATGGATATTGCCAGAACGTTGACGATTGCAGCAGGCAGATGGAACACTGCTCCCAATTGCTAAGAGCCATGGGAGTGTCCAGGCAGACACTGAGCACCACAACAGCTGGGACTAGGCATAAAGGCCAGACAATGCTGCAGCATGGCAGTGTGTTCAGAATCTGGACTACTTACTCAAAGACTGAGAAAGCTCCATAAAGTCCTTGTTAACAGAAAAACTGTTTTTTTTGAAAATCATGGGTTACCCAAAAGTGTGATCAAAGTTAATCTTATAATTATTTTTCATTTAAAGTGCTCTGCTGTGGTTAATGCACTGGAGGCAAACTGCCATGATCGATTTCATAAGAAGCCCAAAAAAGCTTCACTTTCCATTTCAGTGCTTATTTACTGCCAGACCTGGCCTTTATTTCTGCTAGATATCCCACCACGGTAAAAAAAGTTTGGCTTTCCCCCCCTTGGCCTAGCAGTTTGTTTGTTCAGTCTGTTTCCAGTCTTTTGCTGCAGTCTGTGTCAACGAAGTGCCTTATCATGCATTTGCTGACTACAGAATGAGGACAAACACAGGAGTTTGACATACCTATAGATACAATTAATCCTGCAGGTGTGTATCAGCTGTAAGAAATTACTTTAATTCAACAAAAGCTTCTCCAGGATCTGGGCTGCTTTAAAACCACAACAAATTCTGTGAAGGTTAGAATTCCTGAGGTCAGCTGTGAGAATCTGTTGCTTTAAGGAGGAAAGTGTGAGCGAGCTGCACAAGGTCTAGTAACACCTTTCTTCTGCCTCTCAAACACATTTTCCTAAGGTCCTTCAGAAAGTAGGTCACAAGACTTTATATCTTCCATCCAAGGAAAAACATACCTTGAGACATTTTAAGAAGACTTTTTTTATATAAATAGCCTAAAGAACTGAAAAAAAGCAAAAGTAGTTATTGTTATTAACAAATTCTATTACATTTTAGAGATTTCTGCAGATGTTACTGATTTAAAAGATGTCAGAGTTTTGAATAAAAGCTCATTCTTAAATTTTTAGGCATCTGGTATCACTACTAGTCAAGCACCAGAGTAAGCTTTGCAGATTAATTAGAACAGGGAGAAAAATGAATGCCCACAAAGTATCATAAAGGAATGAAATGGGCATATGCAAATTTTTAGCCATCTGCAGACAGATGGATTTTAAATTCCATTTCAAAGAAAGCAGAAACTGATCCTTTCACCGATGACCATTAGATGTGAGAAGTGGCTAGTCTGAGAAGACACCTCTATTAGTCATTCCCATTTTAGACATTTTTCATCCACATTACATGGCACACGGTAAAAATTACCCCAACATTAACAGAAGCAGCAGGGTTACTACAGAGAAGTTTTAGTTAAAAATACACATTTTATTTCAATGTGCCAATAAAAAAGTCCCACATTTTCATATCACAGGAAGTTAAGTCATACAATAAAAAGAGAACTGTGCTAGTCTATTGGTGCGACTAACTCAGAAGACCCAGATCATGCCAAATTTTGGTTGATATACTCTCCTATCTACATTCTTACATTTACAAAGACACCACAAAAATCCCTTATAATAATGTAAGCAAAATAACTTTCTTCCTAAAAGATTAACTTCATAGCTTTTAATCCATTCTTTCAGGACTTGCACTTCTTTGAGGGCTTCCTGAAGGTGAACGACTGAAAGGAAAAGAAGCCACAGTTAACATTTCAGTAGTCAAATATTTGAGATTCAAAAATACAGGAAAAAGAACAGGAGGATACCTAGACTACTCCAGCACACTTTAAGCACTGGTTTTTTAATAAAATAACCAATCACTATTGACAAAGTTAATGGGTTGATGATTTAATGTTAATAATACTACCTATATAAAAATTACATTATTTTTAACTTTCATATTTTTGCCTTTCTGTACTGTTTTTATAACACCAATTTAAATGTGAGCATTGTAAAGCCACCTAAAGGGTACTACTAATAGCCACCTTCATGGAGGCAGGATACTTCTTCCCTATTCTGATAGAGCAGCTTGTCAAAACCTATTACAGTGATCACTCAGCATTTATGAGCATTTATTCAAGTCTCTTGTGAATGTTTGGGAGGTTAGACTACATACAGCCACATTTTAGACCTTCCCCCAGTCTAACTGGAGCTTTTAATGAGATTCAAAGCTGTAGCTTTGGATGAGGCATATTTATTCTGTGCTTTAAGATCAACAGTAGAAAGTCTCTGTACTAAAACTGTGAGTGAACTGAACACCAGAGCAGACAAATGCAAGACCCAACACACTGCTATGTAACTAGTATCCTCAGGAATTATTACCACATATGTATTACCATATATAAAACTACAATCACAACATCACTTCTATTGAAGAGATCTCAGCAAAATAACTTTCCAGTATTTTCCTACAAGCAGCAGTCAAACTCCTCAACAGAGATCACTGCAGATACAAAGATGCCAGCTCTAGGGAGTCTATGTTATTAGTAGGGAGATCAACATACCTTCTCTTTGGAGATGGTGATCGGGACTTTGACCGGCTGTCAAAATAGAATATCATCAATGTAGCTTAAAGATCAAATGGAACTTTCATATTAAAAACAAGCATGCATCTCAGGTAGCAATGGAATTATGGGAGTCTAGCCAGAAGCTCTTTAAAACAGCAAAGTTTTCAAATCAACTGGTTTTCAAATTATTTGGCACGGACATGAATTTTAAGCAACCATCTTCGGTTGACAAAAGAGGACAAGGGTAGTGCTGAGCTGAGGCTTTGAGAAAAGAAACATCACAGAATCCTGCTCTTTTATCAACAAAATTAATAAAGCTGAAGCTCTTTAACTGTTGGATAGAAGAATTTAACAGAACTGAGCACAAAGACACAAGGAAATCATAACTATGATGGAAACTACAAAGAGTTTATGAAAACAAAAAGCTACATGAGAAACAATCTGAATAGCTGCAGAGGAAACGTCATCATCTCAGTCATATCACAAACAGATTAGCTAGGCACCCATGTTTGAGGGATTTTTTTTCTGAAGGACCAGGCTCTGTTCATCATGCAACCCCAATACTGAATTGGAGATACTACTGAAGGTTTTCTCTCTGTACACTTACCTCTTAGCTGGCGAGCCGGATTTTGATCTGCCATGAGACCTAGATCTACAAGAAGGAAAACCACAGCTCAGCAGGGAAGCTGGGGGCATGCACATTGCCACACTTGAGAAGGCAAGGTTCACACTAAGTATGTAAGAATTGTCCCACTGAACAGACAGAATGCTGCAAGTTTCCAGGGTTTTTCCTGCTAACTTTCGGAAGAAAGCTTTTCAAATGGATGCTGCACATGTTGCTCTGTACTGTGATCCCCAGCTGATGACTGGCGTTTGCTGATGCAGATGGCTGCACTACATCTACAACCCAAATCTTGATTGGTACTTTCACAAAGCTCATAAAAAGCCACATTCTAAACTTGGAAAGTTTTATTAGGCTTGAGTGACACCTACCAGTACAGTTGAAACTGGCTTCAGGCAGCATGCTCCTACAAATATCTTCTCCCAAGTTCTCTTCACTTTATATATGCACTTGCTCAAAGTATTTTTTTAAAAAATCTGTCTGAACTTAACCCTTGCGAAGAGACTGTCAGAAATGTCAGTCTTTTGAGATCAGACTGCTGCGCCGTAAGAGCAGTAATACTGCCTAGAAGAACTGAAATTTTTAGGTTCCCAAAGGAAGTGCTCTACTTTCCACAACTTCCATATACATGCTTTGATGCTGCCAAACCAGCAAACATCATGTAATACTTATTCAGTCTGTCTCCCTTATGACTTGAGAGCCTCTCTTTTGATTCTTCTGTAAAGAAACCCATCTTTCAATTGCCTCATGTGGAAGTTTAACAGAGACTTCATTCGTTAGTTATGGACCAATATTTTGCCACTTCTTCGTACTTGTACATCTGTATTTTCCTCTGCCTCAGTCACTTCATCTCTCCTTACAACGAAAGGTGTCACAGAAAGCAGCCTTTACACTGCAGAAAAATATCCTTGTACTAAGAACAGCCTGTTGACTGTAGCTGTTTTCTGCTCATCACTGATAGTGATGCACCATAATTTAGTCACACTGGAGTAACTGGTATTAAGCTTCAGCATACTTCAGCTAAAAAAACCTCCTGTCCTTACTTGCTGTTCCACTCTTAGAAGACCACCAGCACTCTTGAGCACTGAATCTCCCATCTTCAGCTGTAGATCATTCCACTTGCTCCCTTCAGCTAAAGCTTCCCTTTATATTTATTTTGTTTCTTCATGACTATTATGTTACCTAGGTCAAAGAGCAACCATCAAAACTGGGACAGTAGGCCCAGAAAAGGCCTATGGGAAGAGCAATAGGATCTCCTCCAGAGCAGAACTTCAATTTACCCTTGTACAACAGCTCACAGTCAACCCACGTCAAGCACACTGCCTGGAAAAGGCTGCACAAGCTGCATCCACTTACTATGAAAGGATTAAACTACAAATTCAGAGAACAAATGAGATCCTGTGTTCCTTTCAAATCTGATCATCACTCAAGGCACATTTGTTGGTGCAAAATAGCTGTGACAGGTACTTAGTTCAAATTTAAGACAGCTCCTGCAGACTTTGTTAGTCAACAGAGCTACAAACAGCTGTAACACTCATGGCACTAGCAAGCCCTTCAAGACTTCCCTGGCTAGATGCATTAATTCTAACAGACTACGGGAATGGCTTCCTGATTTCTCTGAGAAATAGTGGTAAGAATCCACAATCTCATGTGTGCTGCACAGAGAAAAAGGAAAAAAAAAGATTTTTCTGATTAATTCTAAATTTGTTGCTATGCTAGCTCTTAATGCAACCTGATCAAAACAGGACTTAGATAATAATTAGGATCTGGCTACCAGTGATATGTAAAGCAAGAGAGAACCATATTCTGCGCTGCTTTTTAAAACTACAGACCCCTAAGTTAGTGGAAACACAGCTTTTTCTGAAAAAAGATTGGTTAGAAAGCCTGAACAGACTTTTAAGCAACATTTACTAAGCTTCTGTAGTCGTGGAAGAGATCTTACCTGCTTCGGGGCCATGTAACAGATCTGGATCTAGATCTCGATCTTGATCTAGACCTGAAGTAAAAAGAAAATAAGACAAGAAGAAAGAAGTCAACTCAACCAGAAGCAATGAAAAATACATAATTACTCTAGATTAATGTCTACACATTGAATGTAAAACCCACGCAATCATTAAATGTTTTAGATATCAAAATTCATCATGGGATATGCAGATGCGTAAGGTCTAAAATGTAATCATATCACCATGCCTGTAAATTCAACATTAGGATTAACAGGAACTTCTTAAAATGTGCTAGTCTGATCTTTAGAGGTCAACACCTTTCAACGTCTGTTATCCATTACCTCTTTGAATCCCTTCACTAAAAGGAAAAAAAAAAAACACTGCCAAAACAACAACAAAGCACACAACCTATTAAAAGTTGCTACTAATTACCTTGATCTCTTCAAGGAAGCCGATCGGGACCGGCGAGGAGACACAGACCTAGACCTACGAGGAGAAACGGACCGAGACCTGCGGTAGGAAGCTGATCGGGACCTGCAAGGAAGTCAATTAAAGAGTTGTAAAACTAGCATTTTCTAAGCAAAAGAAGCAAACTGGGATAAAAGACAAATTTAAACACACCTCCTACCGCGACTCCGGCTGCGCGACCGAGAATACCTCCTGCCACGGGACCTTGAACGGGAGCGAGACCGGGCCCTGGGTTTAGGTTAGAGAAACCAGGTATCAGGAAGCAGCTGCAGCAACCGCTGCACGTGAGGCCCTGCTGAAGTCAAAACTGATTTCAGACAACTAAACAACTAGCATCTGTCAGTTGGAAAAATCT